ATAGATAGATAGATAGATAGATAGATAGATAGATAGATAGATAGATAACCTGCAAAGCTAGTTTCCTTGGAGTATACCTTTAGCCTAGCCCTGGTAATACTGAGCCAGAGACCCAGCCTAGATACATAGTGTATAATGAGTTCACCAGCCTGGATACATAGTGTATAGTGAGCTCACCAGCCTGGATACATAGTGTATAGTGAATTTCACCAGCCTGGCTACATAGTGTATAATGAGTTCAGGGTAGCATGGACAAGGGAGTGAGTTCCTGTCTCAAAGCAAAATAAGTCACCCCTCCTTGACGCATTCCATCCACTAGATTTTTATTTAGGACTCTAGTCTTCTGTTTCAAAATTCTGCTCACTTAATGGGACAACCAAATCACACACTTCCTAAACAGAGCCTGAAGCACCTGGCCACCATGGGGCCTCCCTGGCACTCCGCGCATGCTCCCAGCTCACCTGTACTGCTGTAGAAGGCCAGCTTTGTGGTGGTGTGGAACTCTTGAATGAGGAACTGGGAGAGGGAGATCCTCTCGTCTGTCTTTAGGGAGTCGTTGCCCTTTTTCCAGTATAGCATGAGGTCATCTTCTGTGTAGGCGTCTGGGGGATGAGAGCCAGTGTCAGGAACGGGGCGACAGGCAAGCCAGGCCCACCTGTGGGGCTGTGTGACACTAGGTGTCCTAAACCACACAGACTGCTTGGCTTGGGGTAAGATAGCAAACTGCAAACTAGACAATACAGACAGACAACTCTAGTTCATCCCAGTTTCTCAAAAGTTATCAGAGCAAGGCTTCTAAGCTCAAGGGCTCACAATTCCTACAAAAAAAAAAAAAAAAAAAACCTTGCCCCACAATCCAGCTGCGATAGGTTAAACCAAATGTTAGTGCTGCTTGTATGGCAGAGATAGTTCAACACTAGCAAGATTTCCTAGGGTTTAGCTTTGTAGACTAGGACTCAACAGCTCTTTTTTCTCTTGCACAGGTATGATTCATCACCTGGGGGCCAGATCATAACTCACTCTCAGGCAGCATGAGTCAAGAAGGGGCCTCTTCTTGGGCCCGTTGTGCCCATTTCCCCAAAAGAAGGAGGAGATGACTGTGGTCAGCATCCTCCCAGGGGCTGCCATGTGCCCAGCACGCCCCCTTCAGGTGAAGCACTGGGTTGCATCCTGGTCATAAAGGGGAATATCTTGGAGCTGAGATATCGTTTGCCTCTGTGTAATCTGTTCTTCTACGGGCTCGCTAAGCCTTGACTGCGTGATAGGAGCCCTCACATGTCAACCGGTTTGGCTCTGGTACACAGGTGTCAAACCAGACGCTAACCCGCGAAGGTGTTTTCTAGAGGTGACTAGCATTTCAACCAGGCTTTAGGTGAAGGAGATTATCTCAGCTCATCCGGGAGAGCCTGATCCTAGGAGGGGAAAGGCAGGAAGAGCGGAGTTCCTGGGAGAAGTGTCCCCTGCCACAGAGAGGGGTTTAGGCGTGCTGGTGTTGGACTCACAGCTCTCGATTTCCAGGGAGCAGGTCTGCGTGTCCAGCGGAAACCTGCTGAAGTCCATGTTGCACATCGCCGTCACGGTAACTCTAGAAACAAAAGGACGCAGGGCTTCAGCACCTGCTGGAGACAGCTGCAAAGTGATGAAACAGGTAGAAAAGGCTGCTTCCTGCCTCCAGTTCCTAAGCGGTGTGTTGGCGTCAGGTAAGCCCCTTAAGCATTACCTGTTCTTTATGTTCAACATTAGGATCTGTACAAGCGAGTGTGTATCTCTGCTAACACCAGCACATTCCTGTGTGGTCAGTCAGTATAGCAGTATAAAAGACACACATACACACTTTTCATTTAAATGATTGCTGAAAGAAACAAGGGTTCCCCAAATTCCAAATATTTGCTTCACCACTAACTACTCAAAACTCGCTGCCTCTCGAGATATTAATACACTTTCCTGTTTGCTGTGTTCCCACTGCTGATGGCATCTACTTATTTGCAGTAGAAGGTTGTGGGGCAGGGGAACCCATACCTGACACTGGTAAGTGATGACCTGAGACTAGAAAGGTCATAGGCATATGGGGAAATGTAACTATTATTATGCTAAAGGGACAGAGCAATAAAATGACTCCTGATGACATTCTGTTGCACCCATAGATCGGTACCTCCCTCATTCCTCACCAGAGAAAGTTGCAGTAGATAGGAATTACCAGGGTCCCACAGACAACATACAGAGAGTGAGAGACTTCGGAGCACTTGTGGGACAATATTATACAGCCCACATATATCTGCATTGTATCAGCAGTCAGCCTCTCAAGCCACAATAGCAACTGAGGTGCCCAAAGCATCTTCAGACTGTCTCCTGAGCTCAGGGTGTGCTAATGTTGTGTTGCTCCTTTGTAATCATGAGGACCACTTGGGAAGAAGTGTTAATTCCAAACTAGTGACAGAGCTGCTGATATGACTTTAGTGCTCCTACCTCGAAAACAGAATGCTAATGACCTTCCCCTCACTTTACCTTGGGTAATAAAAGATGTTTGGAGAATAAACGCTGGTAATCTTCAGGATTTGAGTGAACCCTGAGATTCCCTTCCGATATTGCTGTGTGAACTGTGTCTCAATTATTCCCGTGCTTCCACACTGGTCCAGAGAGATAGTTCCTGTTGGGGTTTGGACCCTGACAAGCACTTATCCCTAAAGGGAATGTCTTTATCACCTCACCCCTACACACACACTGAGGCTCAGGTAGCTCTGCAGAAGCAATTATAAGAGACAAAGTGGCTATTGTGAAGGGTGTTGTTTCTCTGACTTCTTTCCCAGCGTGAGTCTGTGACCTCTGAGGGAGTAGGCCTAAGCCAGGTCCTCTGTAGGTTCCAGTGCACCTGAGTCTGGGATCTCCTAGGGAGAAGATCAGAGCCAGAGACCTTTGCAGGACCAACCCCTAGCCAGGGACTCCCACAGGAGCAGATCCAGTCCAGGGACATTTACAGAAACAGGTCTGAGCCAGCAACCTAGACCAGAGCAGGCCTGAGACAGCAAACTCCAAGGGAGCAGAGCAAATCCTGGGAGCACTGAGCGACCTCCAGGAACACGGAGCAACCAACAGGGTAACTAGAACTGTGGCACTGACTGTACCACGAGGAGCAACCATCTAAGCCTTGGATCCACTGGCACCTAGAAGATTAATCATCAGAGTCACAGACAGCTCCAACCATACCAATTAGAGGAAAAGATGAGTAGACAAGGTAAGAACACATGCAACACCACAAAGAGCAACATGGCACCAGTAAAATTAAAGACCTTACAATAGCAAGACTTGAACAACCAAATATAGATGAAGCAGAAGAAGATGACCTAAAAAATAACTTCAGGAGAATGTTTGAGACTCTTAAAGAGGAAATGAGAAATTCCTTCAAAGAAATGGAGAAAAAGAAAAACAAAAAATTGGAAGACATCCGCAAATTTCTTAAAGAAAACCAAGAAAAAGCAATCAAACATATGAAAAATACTATTCAAGACTTGAAAACTGAAATAGAGACAATAAAGAAAACACAAGCTGAGGGAATTATAGAAACAGAAATCATGAGAAAATGAGCAGGAACCACAAATGCAAACACAAACAGCAGAATACAAGAGATTTTGGAAGAGAGATTCTCAAGCATTGAAGATACAATAGAGGAAATAGACTCATCAGTAAAAGAAAACATTAAATCTAACAAAAACTTAACACAAAATATCCAATAAATATGGGACACCATGAAAGAATCAAACCTAACAATAATAGATATAGAAGAAAAAGAAGTCCAACTCAAAAGCACAGAAAATATATTTAACAAAATCATAGAAGAAAACGTTCCCAACCTAAAGAAAGATATGCCTATGAAGATGCAAGAAGCTTACAGAACACCAAATAAACTGGATCAAAAAAAAAAGTGCCCTCGTCAAATAATAATCAAAACACTAAACATATGGAATAAAGAAAGAATATTAAGGGCTGCAAAGGAAAAAGGCCAAGTAACATATAAAGGCAGACCTATCAGAATTACACCTGACTTCTCATTGGAGACAATGAAAGTCAGAAGGTCATGGTCAAGCAATATACAGATGTTAAGAGACCACGGATGCCAGTCCAGACTGCTATACCCAGCAAAACTTTCAACAGAAGGACAAAACAAGATATTCCATGAGAAAGCCAGATGTAACCAATACTTAGCCAGAAACCCAGCCCTACACAAAGAAGGAAAACTCCAACCCAAGGAAGTTGGTGCATCAACAAAAACACAAACAATTGATGATCTCACAACAACAAATCCCAAAGAAGGGGAAAACCCACAAACTAACATCAACAATGAAAACTAAATTAACAGGAGATAGCAATCACTACTCATTAATATCCCCTAATTTACATAGACTCAATTCACCTGTAAAAAGACACAGGCTAGCAGATTAGATACAAAAACAGTTTCCATCCTTCCGCTGCATACAAGAAACACACCTCAACCTCATAGGCAGACATTGCCTCAGAGAAAAGGGTTGGGAAAAAATTTCCAATCAAATAGACCTAAGAAAAAGCTGGTGTAGCTATCCTAATATCTAACAAAATAGACTTTAAACTAAAATTAATCAAAAGAGACAAAGAAGGACATTTCATATTAGTCACAGAAAAAAATCCATCAAGAGGAAAATTCAATACTGAACATCTATGCTCCAAATACAAGGACACCCTTATATGTAAAAGAAACACTTCTAAAGTTTAAATCATACATTAAACTCCACACACTAATAGAGGGAGACTTCAACACTTCACTCTCAACACTGGACAGGTCAGTCAGACAAAAAATTAACAGAGAAATAAGGGAACTAACAAATGTTATAACTCAAACGGACTTAACAGACATCTATAGAATATTCCATCCAGACACAAAAGAATATACCTTCTTCTCAGCACCTCCTGGAACCTTCTCAAAAATTGATCACATACTTGGCAACAAAACAAACCTCAGCAGATACAAAAAAATTGGAATAATCCAATGTATTATCAGATCACCATGACTTAAAACTAGAAGTCAACAGCAACACTAATTCCAGAAAGCCTACAAACACATTGAAATTAAACAATGCTCACCTGAATCATCAATGGGTCAAGGAAGAAATAAAGGGAGGGAGAAATTAAAAACTTCCTAAAACTCAATGAAAATGACCACATAATATACCCAAATTTATGGGACACAATGAAAGCAGTGTTAAGAGGAAAGTTCATAGCACTAAATGCCTATATAAAGAAGCTGGAAAAATCCCACACTAGGGAATTAACAGAACATTTGAAAACTTTAGAACAAAAAGAAGCAAACTCACCCAAGAGAATTAGACGGCAGGAAATAATCAAATTGAAAGCTGAAATCAACAAAATAGAAATAAAGAAAACAATACAAAGAATCAATGAGACAAAGAGTTGGTTCTTTGAGAAAATCAACAAATTAGACAAACCTTTATCAAAACTAACCAAAAGGCAGAGAGAGAATATCCAAATTAATAAATCAGAAATGAAAAGTGGGACATAGCAACAGACATGGAGAAAATGCAGAGAATCATCAGGTCATATTTCAAAAACCTGTACTCCACAAAATTTGAAAACTTAAAGGCAATGGACAACTTTCTGGATAAATATCACTTACCAAAAT